TTCCCTAATGGTAAATCGAGCACGTGTTTCTGGGGATAAACCCAACTTGATTGTGTTCTATTTTGTTTGTTGGATTTTGTCTGATAATTATTTTCTTTTTGCACCTATGTTCGTAAGTAAAATCAGACTGGATCCTATGTTTGCTCAAGTTTTGGTATTAAGATTATACCAATTTCATAAAAAGAATTGCTATCTGTGACTTCTTTATTTATATTCTGGAATAGTATATGTGAGATTGGCAGTATTTGTCCCTTGGATGTTTGGTCCACTTTCTAAGTAAAACTATCTGGACCTGGGGTTTTATTTGAATAAAGAGTTATAGTTACTATTTGGATTTCTTTAATGGTTATAGGACAATTTTGGCATTCTGTTTCTACTTGAGTGAGTTAAGTAACCTCCCCCCTTTAGAAGTTTGTCCACTTCATCTAAGTTTTCAAATATATTTACATGAAGTGGTTCATAAGACCCTTTTGTTACCTCTTAAGATTCTATAACATCAGCAGAAATTTTTATTCCTAAATTGTTTTCTTGTTCTTTTTACTTCTTTTCTTGCTTAATCTTGTAAGAATTTTGTCAATTACTAGTCATTTTGGAGAATCCATTTTTGGCTGTTAATTTTATGTATTTATGATTACCGTTTTACTCAATTTCTGTTCTTATTTCCTTCTACCTTTTAAAAGTTTAGTCTGTTCTTGTTTTACTAACGTCCTAATGTGTGTCATTCACAAATTATTTTTCACCCTTTTATAATGTCAACATTTAATTTTATAAATTTTAAGGTGTTACTTGAAGTGTACTTTGAAGTGTTCCTCTACACATTTTTAAATTTAATGTTTCTAGGGACACCCCGGTGGCTCCGTTGGTTGAGCATCAACTTTGGCTCAGGTCATGATCTGGTGGTTTGTGGGTTCAAGCCCCAAGTCAGGCTCTCTGCTGTCAGCACAGAAGCCTGTTTCAGATCTTCTGTCCCTCTCTGCCCCTTCCTCACTTGCGCTCTCTCTCTAAAAAATAAACATTTTAAAAATAATTTAGTGTTTCTACTATTGTTCAGTTTTTAATACTTAATACTTGCCATTATAATTTCCTTTTTATTATAAGTTATTTAAAAGCACATTTCTCAATTTCCAATATCAGGTTTTTTTCTTGTTTTCCTATTGTTTACTTTTGTTATTAATTTCTAACTATTCATTATTTTTGGAGAAGGATGTCCATATGATACTTATGCTTTGAAATTTGTTGAGATTTGTTATTTTTTTTTAGTGTTTATTTTTGAAAGAAAAACAGAACGTGAGTGGGGGGAGGGGTGGAGAGAAAGGAAGACACAGAATCCGAAACAGGCTCCAGGCTCTGACTGAACCACCAAGGCGCCCCAGTACATTTGTATTTCTGTCATCAAATTTTGTGATATTTTCCCTGATTTCATTTTAATGTCTTGCCTTCTTTTTGTTCTCTGCTAGTTTAAAAATTTCAAACTATGTAGTCTCTTATAGTTGCCATAGATATGTTTTTTTAATATTTGAAATATTTAATATTAACAGAGCATGACCAGGGGAGGGGCAGAGAGAGAGGGAGGCACAGAATCTGAATCAGGCTCCAGGCTCTGAGCTGTCAGCACAGAGCCGAACGTGGGGCTGGAACTCAGGTACCTCGAGATCATGACCTGAGCGGAAGTCGGATGCTTAACTGCCACCCAGGCGCCCCTCCCTAGATGTTTTAATATAAAGGCTTAAGTTCTCTAAGTTCTAAAAGTAGTATTTTTATCCTTCTCTCTCTCAATATAAGGGCCTTAGAATACTTAGGGCAAGCTCTCTCATTGCCACACACTTCTTTAAATGTTTGTTTTCTACTTGAAGATTTTTTTTGCAAATTTGTTGGCACGTATATAAATATGTCCATGAATTCAAGCAATAGGAGTTTCTGGAAATATTACTTAATTTGCATTAGAACTACTAATCTGAGCCTGGCTGGCTCAGTCATTTAAGTGTCTGATTCTAGATTTCAGCTCAGGTCATGATCTCAGTTTGTGAGATTGAGCCCCTAGTTGGTCTCCTCAATGATAGCATGGAGCCTGCTTGGGATTCTCTGTCTCCCTGTCTCTCTGCCTCTCTCTCTGCCTCTCTCTTTCTCTCTCTTATGTGCACTCTCTCTCTCTCTCTCTCAAAAGAAATAAATATTACAAAAAAAAATTACTGGGGCGCCTGGGTGGCTTAGTTGGTTAAGTATCCAACTCTTGGTTTCAGCTCAAGTCATGATCTTGCAGCTTTGTGAGTTCGAGCCCTGCACTGACAGTGCAGAGCCTGCTTGGGATTCTCTCTCCCCTTCTCTCTGCCCCTCCCCACACTCTGCTGTCTCTCTCAAAAATAAATAAACTTAAAAAAAAGCACTAATCTGTAGCTGTTCTATTATAAGACTTTTCTTTAAAGATTTCTATTATTAGTTTATTTCATTTCAGCAGTCTGGAAGGTATAATGGGAGCCCAGTAGCACTTTCCTACAGAAAGAAAAAAAGATGATAAATGTCTTCAACTAAGGTTAACCTTTGAGTAAGGTAAGTAATATAACAGAATTTAAGATTTGGGAACTTTGCAAGATTCATATATTTTTGTTATGGGAATTGAATTGAATTCAAAGGATGAAAATTAAGCTAGCAAGACCCCCTGAAACACAGCAGAGGATCTGGAAATGTTTTATGATGTATTAGTATGATCACCAATTTGTTCATCATGTGTATTTGATTCCCCAAGTACAATTAGCTAAAAACAAAAACAAAATGTAGTCAATTATACTTTAAAAAGAAATAAAATTTTTAAAAGAAAGAACCCCTAAGAGAGAAATAATTCCCAGAAGTCATCTATCTAGTCTAACTCCTTCAACTCATAACTGAAGAAACTCCACTTTAGTCAAAATAAGTGATTTATTGAACAAGAAAGAAATTAAGAAATGGTTTTTGGACCAAAAAGAGCATTGTCACTATTCAGCTTATCTGTTTTGAATAATTTAATTAGAAGACAAACCAGTGCCATACATTATTAACCACTATTTCCCTAAACAGTTGAAAGTCTTGTTTCAGAGATGTCAATGATTTAAATAGTTCAGATTACTTTTCCCAGTTTTTACCTCACTGTGACTCAAGCACCCACTTGGAAACCAATGGAAGTCTTCCCGCAGGTTAACACAAGAGGCTGATAGCCGCACACATGTTGCCTTGTTGCCTATAATGCACCAATTAGAAGAGATGAAGGAGAAAAAAGACTAAAATCTTTTTTTTTTTTAAAGTAATCTCTACACCCAATGTGGGGCTCAAGCTCACGTCCCTGAAATCAAGAGTGGCATGTTCTAGTGACTGAGCCAACCAGGTGCCTCAAAATACTAAAATCTTTAGTAATCACTTTCACGTCTCATAACATGCATTCTTGAAAGGAAGTCACTTGCCTTGAGAAGGTTAGAGTCAATTAGACTTCTATAGTTACATCCTGGCTGGGCATAGCTGTGAAGTCCTGATGATTGGGAGGGCCTTTCTAAAAGATGGCACTGGCCAGTGAAGTTAACCACTGACTCCTGTAGTTCATCCACTTTCTCAGCTGGTGAATTCTCTGGTACCCATGGGCAGCCCAGTGGGAGAGGTTAAGGAATGATTCCTGATTCCACAAGCAGCCCACATTCACTGCTTGCTTATGCTTGCCCAGCTACCAAAACAGAGGGATTCTTCCTTTTGAAATTCTTTTTTTTTTTTATTTGGCTTTTGAATGTCTGGTCACCTATAGGGTTGGGAATTATTGTTTTTACCCAAAAGAATATTTTCCTTATTTCTAAAACTTTGGTTGTACCATGAGAGACCTTGTGATCCAAGTCTTGTTTCATCCCTGATGTTCGTTCTACCTTCTTCAGACAGCGATGGTTTGTCCCCTCTTTCACAGCTCCTGGCCAGCAACCTCCTACGGGTTGGTTGGCAGAGCTGTTGCAGATACAGCTGCATTTCAAACATCTGGGTGCAAACGAGGGGAGTCCTTTCAAGGCTCTTTCACTACTGAATGAAAACAGATTTTTTAAAAAGCAATAGCAGAAAGCATCCGAGTTGATATACCCTGATCCAGTTGCCTGGGGATGAACAGGACAGGAGCACTGGGCTCACTTCTAATTTCAAGTCCTATCAAACGACCAAAGACTAGGAAACCAAAGACCAAATGCTGCAAAGTCAGAATAAGAGGGTGTTCCTCTGGGGTAGAGAGGGCCTCTTCTATGGCAGTGAGGGCACTGGGTTGGAGTCAGGACTCCTAAGCTTGGTTGCCAGCTCTTTCTCTTGGAAGATGTGTGCTCTAGACAAGTCACCAAATATACCCGAGCTTCAATTTTCTGTTACAAAATGAAGGAGTTGCACTGGATTCCTGAGGGACACCATTCTAACACTGGTTCTACAGAGAATTATAGTCTACTTACATTATCCATCTTGTCCCTGAAGTTCTTAGAATACTCTTTCAGCAAAGTGTGAATTGATACCAAACTGATTATGTAAAAAGTACGGAATATTCTATGAAAACAACTTTAATGGTTGTGATATAATCATTTAAAATATTTATTAAGCATTGATTTAAAAAATGCAAGAGAAGAATATAACACCTCAGAGCAAATGCTTGAAGGTAAAACAAATATCACTATAAATATTGCACTTATAAAATCTCTTTTTTACATCTTCACACAACTCATTTCTAAAATATCCTTTTACAGAGATGTATAAATAAACTGCTTCCAAACTGTCAACGCTCAATACATTCAGTTTCCTATCACCGCGCTAAGTCTGCAGGTTTTCAATCGTGTATCTGCTCCTCTCTGTGCAGGCAAAGAACTTCCATCAGTGATATCGGAGGTCTCAGACCTACATCATGTGAAGAATAAATCTTTCTGAATGCTCAATGTTTAATATAAGATTTTTGTTCTACTGAGAAAAATACAGATCTTTCAAAGGCAATGACAGAATGCAGCTTAAATGGACACAGTTCACTATTAACATTGCTTATTTTTCAAGGCATCCAGGAGCTTCTGATTCTTGGTCTTGAACATCATGATAAAGCTGTTTGGCATGATTTTGCCTCGCCCATCTTCACCCACTTGGCCCATAATAATGTAGTTTAGACCTAAAAAAAAAATATATATATATATATATATATATAAAAAATATATATAATTTTTTTCTCTGTGTACTGTTTCGATACAACTTAGACTATAACTTACCTCTAGATAAAATGATCTGGAAATGGTATAATTAATTATACATTTGTTCTATCTAGGATAAAATCAGGTATAAGCCTCTCAGAAAAAAAAATCTAAACTCCAGTAAGGAACGTGTTCCAGCTCTGCCAACACTAGAAAGATGGAAGGGGATGATGAGGCCCAGCCATGTCCTGCTCTGCAGGGCTGTGGGTCTGAGGTATTTACTGAATACGCGCTGTGTTCATGTGAAAGGCTGTCCTTCCTCAAGGGGCCTCGGTGCTCCCTGACATGCCATCCTCAGATGGCCTGTCATTATCCCATAATGACTCTAGATTTCCCAAGCATTTGGCAACTAATGATCCACGGTCTTATGTTCCTGTTGTCGACTTGAGCTTTTTTCAATATCTCAAGTATTTGTACTATGTAAGTTTCCTGAGGGCATGGTTGCATCATATATTTCTTTGCATTCTTATAGTTCCTTACAACAAATAGATACTAAGAAGTACTTCTATCCATTATACAGTTTTTTGTATTAGTGTATCTGGCTAAGTTAGGCCTAGACTGGGCCCTAAGCTGAGGTATGTTGGATTCAACTCCGAAGATTTATACTGCCTGAGAAAAAATGTCATAAAGGCAGAGTGTATTACCGCCTCCTTTATTCTCCCTCTTCGCCTGTATGTCTTAAGAGAAATATGTCCTTTTTCTCTTGCATAATCTTCCTTTGTGGGCTAACATTGTCCTCATAGTGGTCTTGAGCCATAGTGGTCTTGAGCCTGTGAAGGCTTGGAGGGCTGGGCAGGTGGATGCCACCTCAAGGCCAGACTGTTAGCATCATTATGAGACCTTACGGTAAGTGTCTACATGTACATTATCTGATGTTCCTGCAGTTCTGGGAAGAAGTGTTAATCTTTTACAGAGCCTTTGCTATTCCCTCTGAAGGATCCATGTGAAGCCGTGAGCCTCCAGACTTTTCTGAACAACCTGAATTGTTAAAGTGGATATTCTCTCTTCATTTCTATTGTGTGTGTGTATGGGGGGGAAGGGATTGGTTTGGTTTAGTTGTGGGGGAAGTTTGTAACAAGATTGAGGGAACACATCAGCTAAGATTGGAGACAGAAATCTTGGTATACCACACAGTGGATACCAGACATGATTACCATTCCAAAGAGAGAGAAATATCTATCTATATGTGCTGTTGATGGAAAGATGTCTATAGATCATGTGGTGGGGGGGGAGTGGTAGTCGAACAGGTATATCATGACTTCATTTGTCTAAGTGTGTACTTGCATGCTTCCTATAGACAGAAACTTTCTAGAGGGAACTTTTCATGGTACCTCTGGGAAAAGGGAAAGGGCTTCACTTTTTATTTTATATCCTTCTCTATTTACCTAAACTTTTTTTTTTTTTTAATTTTTTTTTTCAACGTTTTTTATTTATTTTTGGGACAGAGAGAGACAGAGCATGAACGGGGGAGGGGCAGAGAGAGAGGGAGACACAGAATCGGAAACCGGCTCCAGGCTCCGAGCCATCAGCCCAGGGCCTGACGCGGGGCTCGAACTCACTGACCGCGAGATCGTGACCTGGCTGAAGTCGGACGCTTAACCGACTGCGCCACCCAGGCGCCCCTATTTACCTAAACTTTTAAAAAAAACCATAGAACATTCATTACTTTTATAAGTTAAAGAACTTGTTAAAAAAAAAATCATTTGCTCCTTGCCTCTGGCTCTGGACTTTTTCCATTAAAAAAAATTGTTTTTAATGTTTATTTATTTTGAGAGAGAGAGAGAGAGAGACTGAGCATGAGCGGGGAAGGGCAGAGGGAGACACACAATCTTAAGCAGTTTCCAGGCTCTGAGCTGTCAGCCCAGAGCCCGATGCGGGACATGAGCCAAAGTCAGACGCTCAATCAACTGAGCCACCCAGGCGCCCCGGACTTTTTTCATTTTTTAACTTTCCTTTTTCCATAATTTCTCTTAAACTCATTTCCATGTGTGGATTTAATGAACCTATATCTGCAAATATTCCCAAATCTTTAATTCTAGCCCATATATACCTCTCTCTTCTGAACTTCAGCTCTGAATTTCTTGTTCCTTGATGGATATTTTCCTCTAAACATAGTATTGGCACCTTAAGTGCAATAATTGAAAATCTCTTTCCCCTGAACCGCTCCTTCTGTGTCTGTTCCCTATTGATCCAACCTCAAATGCTTCTTGGACTCATTCATCATTTCCACTATCTCATCTTCTGTCACATGTTACAAGAACTGGGCTTAGAGCCCAATTCTGCCGGACTCCAAAGGCCTTCCTTCTACACCAGAAGTGGACAACACATTAGCCTTGATTTTACTTCCCCAGTCATGGCAGGGGAAGATCCACGACTTGCTCAGACTCTCTCTCTTGTTTCCTTCTCTGTCCCTGAGCTTCCCTAAAGAAAGACTAATATTTTCCTCCCTACCTCTTCTGAGGAGAGGGCACTGCTTGCAGACCACGATGACCTTGGCACTCATGTTCTTGCCAGCCTGCTGAATTGCCAGATTTCCCTCTTTATAGATGTTGATGATCGAGACTGTGGCATGCAAACTTCCACCTCGGGTGACAGTTGTGATAACAGTGCCAGCCAGTACTGCAGAAGGAAACATTTAGATATATTATGACAGTGAAAGCAAAAATGTAAGCAGAACTGAAAATAATTTTACGTTCTTCTAAGCTTCAGATAGGAAACATTCTAATGTTCAAGAGAAAGCCCTAATAGAGCTATCGAATGTGATTCTGCACATGTGTCACCAAAATTTAGGTTGAAGAAAAGAGGCCATGGAGCTGGAATGTTAGCCGGGTTGTTAGGTGTTGATGCCTAGGAGAGAAACCTAATTACCTGCTGCATTGCACTCTGCTGCTGAGAGGGGCTCTCTGCAGTGTTTTATCCAACATGGGGATCGTTTACCAGATAAGGCATAGGCTTATGAACCTTTACCTATGAATACTCAATTAAGACCTTGAATCTTTAGAGGTAATACCGTACTAAGCAGTTGCATGCTAGGGGTTTGAGCTACAAAGATCTGGGTCTTTGTGTCCGTTTGGTTGACTGCCTACCTTTCTGTGTCTTTCCCCTCACCCCTCTCTTCAACTGTCCTCTCTCCATGAACTTTGGTTCATCCCATGGGTCCCCATCTCTAATTATCAGTATCTGTTTCTGGGTCTTTCATATTCTTTCTTATCCACCTTCTTTATTTCATTTAACAAATCAAAGTATACAGCTGAGGCATAACAAAACATTTTCTTGCTTATAAACAAAAACAAAAACACCTAACAAAATTCAGTTGCTTTTCATTATGTAACTCACTCTTTATTCCACAGTGATGTAAGAGGAAAGAGTCTCACTCTGGAGGCACAGAAGGAAAGATGCTGTTTCTCAAAGGCATACTTTTGGCATTTTGTGGGTGACAATTCCATGTGGTGTAGGACTTGGCACTGAGAGACTGTTTTATGAGCCCTGTCCCTCCCCAGAAAAACCAGTAGCACCCCCCCAGTTATTGTGCCAAAACTGCTCCTTGGGGAGTGTTAGCAATGCAGGCTGAGAACCAATGGGCCACTGGTATTAGTAGTTGGTCATTTTGCCACAGAAGAGAGTCACAATGGAATAAGTCAAAGTTTGGACTTGGCTGACATGTTCTCACTTTCAGGATAAAGTGAGAAGCTGCTGCTCATGTAGTGTGCAAAGTTCAGAATTCTTATTATGCCTTACTTTGATTCCTGGTGATAATTGTTAAATCTATAGCTAAGTGAAATCTGGTGGCTCCAAAGGATGTAGAGGGGGAGATTTCCTTAAGCACCTCCCACAGAAGACTAACCTGGATGTGACTGCAATTTGTTTTCATTTTCATGCCTGTTATTTGAATTGCAGCATGCAAACTCCAGTAAGATCTAGGGCCCTAGATTCTTCAGTGCCTCACACCCTCAATTAGAATAGTTTGTCTGGACTGTAGACAGTTACCATTTAAAAGGCACAGAAAAAGCAAGCCTCTTTTGGGAGACTCTCTGTTGTGGGTGTAACCTATTTAGGCTTTAGCAACTTCCTTTTCCTGATAAGACTTTTCTTAAATGTTCCTTTAAAAAATAACCAACATAGGGGCGCCTGGGTGGTGCAGTCGGTTAAGCCTCCGACTTCAGCCAGGTCACGATCTCGCGGTCCGTGAGTTCGAGCCCCGCGTCGGGCTCTGGGCTGATGGCTCAGAGCCTGGAGCCTGTTTCCAATTCTGTGTCTCCCTCTCTCTCTGCCCCTCCCCCGTTCATGCTCTGTCTCTCTCTGTCCCAAAAATAAATAAACGTTGGAAAAAAAAAATTAAAAAAAAAATAAATAAATGAATAAAAATAAAAAATAACCAACATAATTAAATTTGGTATCTCTTGCTCTTAAGTGGTTTTTACAATTGGAAAAAGCTCTAAGAAATTCTAAGTCATTAGATAGTATCTCCTCAGTTCCAATTTGTAAGCATTTCCAAATAGATTTCAGATTTCCAAGTTTCAATTTAGTACTCTGGAAGGACACTACAGAGGAAATACGTGAATTTCTTCTGAGAAAGGCCAGCCTGGATATGTTTCTAATTTACGTAAGTGGAATTACAGATGTGTGAAAAAATATTCCATGAAAAATATGTGAGAAAAAAAGTATACAGGGTTTTTCAGGAATACTGAGCCAGCCAGAATACACAGAGTAGCAGTATCCTATTCCAAGAGTCAAATTATTAAGTTTATGTGAAAAAAAGCATATTTTCTGTATACATATTTTTCTCAGTTGTGAAATCTAACACTTTGAACAACACTAGCCAACTATACCTTAGTGAACAGGAAAACATTTTCGTGGGTGAATGAAGAGTGTAACTAACCCTTTACTATCACATTCAGGGCAACTCCTTTGAGACTAAGCATGCAGTCTCAAGTTTCTGATTAAAGAGAAAAGGCCCGATTTTATTTCTTACCAAAGTTACTGGAACAGTAATTGCTCTCCAGAGTCCCCGTCCGTCTACACTTTTGTTGACACAGGGCCACGGTGGGTTTTAAACCTTAATTCAAAGAAGAAAGACATTAAGATTCAGGAAAATGAATTCAATTGCAATTGGTGTTTAGACCTGAATCTACTTAAAATTCCTATTTATTTCCCTGAGCCATCAATCCATCATCGCAATGGAGTAATTACATTCAAAAGAAATTCTTTATGGTACTAACTACTGTTCTCATTTCCTCAGGGTAACTCAATACTCTCTGCTGAATTTGAAACCAGAGATCAAAGATAACCCACATTTTGCCCTCTTTTCTTCTTTCTTTATACATAACACTAACCAAAAATAGATATAGCTTCCTTGCACCCTGCTTAGAAAAACCCAGTGCAAAAAATATGAACTCAGAAAATGTAGGTTAATTCTTCACTTTACAAAAGGAATCCAATGGTGCTCCCCCTGAGGATGGAGGGAGTTTTCTCAGTGCCTTTAATATAGGCACCTGCCCAAATGTGGGTAGTACAAGGTTTTAGAAACTGTGTAAAGTGTATTATACCTGTAATGAGCTGCAACCCATCACTATACATCTATTTTGAGTCTGCCATTGCGTGTAAGCATTTAAGAACTGGGAAGTAGACTAATTTAAAAATAAAAGTAGATACACAGAGTAGTTCTCCAGCAAAGGTGATTCCTCCCCTTGGGTGATGTTTTGCAATGTCTAGAAATATTTTTTGTCACAACTAGGGGCTGCTACTGGCATTTAGTGGGAGATACAAAGGATGCTGTTAAATATCCTACAATAAACAGGGCAGCCCCCAACAGCAAAGAATTATCTGGCCCAAAATGTAAATATTGCCAAGGTGGAGAAACTGTGGGTTACCAAAATGAAAATATTTAATTTTTTTTTTAATGTTTGTTTATTTTTGAGACAGAGAGAGACAGAGCATGAACGGGCGAGGGGCAGAGAGAGAGGGAGACACAGAATCGGAAGCAGGCTCCAGGCTCTGAGCCATCAGCCCAGAGCCCGACGCGGGGCTCGAACTCACGGACCGCGAGATCGTGACCTGAGCTGAAGTCGGACGCTTACCCGACTGAGCCACCCAGGCGCCCCCAAAATGAAAATATTTAATTCCCATTATTATCAATAAAAATGTTTCCAAAATATTTGCTAATTATTCACTTATATGTGGCAATATGCTAGGAAGAACTAAACAAAACAGCTGTAACAGAATTGTACTTGTTGGGCAAGAATTTGCAGCTATAACACTGCCCTTCTAATGTGTTTCTGTGAACTCTTCTCTGAAGTTATTATTGATTTACTCTTACTTTGTACCCATACTTAACTCCAAAAAGGATCTCAAGTGGATCACAGTATTAAAATATGTACAATTTAATGTTAAAATACATAGAATAGCATGTGTGTGTATGTGTATACTTTTTTTTTAAGGCAAAGAGTTCAGAAAACATTTAGAGGGAACACTGCTCCAGAAGTTGGGGACCTAAATTTACCTAATTACTGGAGTCAAAAAGTAGTGGTGCTAGTGTTTCTCCCTCTCTGATGAAAGAACATCCTTTCAGTGGACACTGGAAACCAGCTCTTCTAAATCCCAGAATGTCAATCTGGAAGCTGGGTGGCAGTCCCACCCTGCTCCTTCTCCTCGTTCAGTAGATCCCTGCTCTCCTGCCTTTAAGTCATCACTAGAGCACCCTGACCCTTGTCACCTCCCTGTCTTCTCTCTCCCTGCACTCCTGGCATGGCATCTGGTCCTCAGCCTTCCTCTTCAAGTGCACCTGCGACCATCTCGGTGGGTGTTCCCTCCTCCCAGTGCCACGGCTCCATCCTTCCCAGACTTTCCCTCAGCTCTGTCTCCATCACCGAGTCCCAGGTTCACACGTTCTCCCATTAGTCTGTCATCACCAAGCTTTCAAGTTCATACATCCTAACATCCAGTGTAGATGTCTCTTGTTCCAGCTCCTATCTTTTCAGTCTCTTTTGCCAGTATATCCTTCTTTTTAAAAAGTTGAGGTTTCTAGAGACTGAATTCCAGCAGCCCTTGTCCTTTCACTTCTAACCTCTCCCTAGGTGATCTCATTTTGGATCACAGTGTCAACCACATGTATGTTGATGATTCTCAAATTTAAATCTCTTGCTGAAATCTCTTCTAGAGGCCATAGATCGAATTGGACATGATTACTCCACTTGAGTGTCTCACAGACACATCAGACCCAACATGCCACAGCTTAACTTATGATTCTACCCCTAAACCCCTTTCTCTGCTTCAGTGAAAGGTCACACCTTCCCCCGAATTGTGCAAACCAGAGACGTGAGAGGCATGATTCACACCTCCCTGATCTGTCTAGTACCAATAATCACCAATTAAAGACCTGTTAATATCTTCCAACGCTCCTCGCTTGCACAACAGTCAGAATTTCTGGACTCTCTGTGTATTTCTGTCACAGCACAGTTCACCTGGACAACCACGAGAACCTGATTGTCTTGACCCTACTATCCATTCACCTCACAACTGGCCAGAGCTATCTTCATGAAGTGGGAATCTGATCCTGAACTTTGTTTAAATCCATCAACAGTTGCCCCCACACTTAGGATAAAATACCAAAATACTTAGAAGCATAAGGAGAGAGGTGGTAGGGCCTAAAGATGGAACTAGAAAGAGAAGCTAGGCACAAAGAGTTCATGAAGGGTCTTATATATGTCATGAAGGAGTCTAGCTCCTGGGCTGCCCGATATGGTAGCCACTTATCACATGAGGCTTCTTAAAAATAATTAAATTAAAATTTAATTCCTCAGTATCACTAGCCACATATCAAGGGTTCAATAGTGGCTACCGTATTGGATAGCACAGGTGTAGACAATGAATTCAGGTGGGAGACATGGTCTGCTTTGTGTGTGTGGTGGGAGGCATGCAGTGGGGAGGTAAGATAGAGGAACTCAAAGATGACTTAAGAGTGTGGCTACTGATGCTGTGGACCCTGCTTGGGAAAACAGGCGGAAAAGCAGATTTGATGCACAAAATAGTGTAATAAAAACAAATTGAGTTTGATAGGTTTTAATTTAAATGCTTAGCAGTCAACAAAACCCTAGGAGATCATTACAAATCCATGTTGGCAATTTCAGAGGTTTAGGACTGGAGATAAAATCTAGGGAGCCACTAGCAGCACGGTGCTGCCAGATAATTCAATGGAAAGAATAAGGACACCAGGTTCCACTGAGATGAGCTGAAGAAATGAGAAATAATGCTGTAATATAGCAGTACATGTCTAGGCCACAAGGTGGCATACTTGGGGAGCACTCAGAAAAATCAGCTCTTCTACAAGTGCCTATACTCAGGTCAGCCCTACCAGGGGTGCAAGCAGAGAATGGCGGGCTATAAAAGCTGGGCTCATTTCAAACTATTTTGTATCTTAACTGCAGATCCTTCATTCCCACTTTTTTCTTTCTCTCAGATTTAGATTTTGAGATCTGAGGCCTGAAAGCTCAGTGAGTGGAGACTTAGTATAGGGATACACTCTTGTCTCTCCATTTCTTAGGTTATGCTCCAGACCAGTTTCCCAACTGGCTTCTATAATACCAATTTACCCCAGTTTGGGAAAAAAAAAAGAAGTATTTTGTATAACACATTTTAGAGTGAAGCGAGAAAAACAACAACATACACATACACAATAAAACCCAAACCAAAAAACTGGCAGATGTGAAAACAGGCAGGTATCAAGGCCCTAGAACTTTAATTTTAATTACTACAATTCTATGTAATAAAAAAAAAAAAAGCCATAACTTTAGAGGTACCAGAAAAGGAAAACTGGGTTTATAATGATCTGTGCCTATAATAGGGTTCCTAGTAATTTTTAAGTGATCATAATTTTCTTACATGACTCTTAAAAATTATTAGCTTATAAACATTTTTACACCTTACACTTTTTCATTAATGGAGTTATATTATTCTCTTAGATAAGTTTTCATTTTATTTAACTTAGTTTAGTTTCAAGTATCTTTGTTTTAATTTTTTTTTCTACTTCAAAAGAATTTTTCTTATACTCCTGAGGTGTGTGCACAAACATCAAAACAGAAAAACTTACCCGTAGTTACAGGGAATGTGGTGGTAACAGGTGGTACTGTAGTTGTAGGCAATTTTTTCGGCCTGAATTTGTAGTGACCAATAAATCCATCTGCAGTTAAACTTAAGTCTGATAAAAACTGAATGAGAAGTTCATTTCTCTCAGATACAATTGGCCTAAAAGAAGAAAAACATTAAAAAAAATTTTTAAGTGGCACCTCTCTGAATTGTAGAATCCTAGCTTTCCATTTGACAATAGATCACTATATGTTTAAAAGTAAAAGTTAAGATACTTCAAAAGGTGAAAGTCTCAATGTGCTCAGAATTACTGCTAAATAGCTAACATTTACGAGTGTTCAGATCGGCACTGTTATTCACTTTCTAACAGAATAAGCAAGTGAAGTTCAGAGAGTTCAAGTGATTTACGCAAGGCCCTACAGCTAGCATGTAGGGGAGTCAGAATTTGAACGTAGGACCAGGTGACCAAAGAGACTGTGCTAGACATTGAGACCAGTGTAAACACTGAAACTGTGGCTGGTTCTTCACAAGCACCTTAGAGTCTGGCCTGACTTGGGAACCACACAGCTTCTTTTAATTAAGACTCTGGATTTGAGCTGGCCTGGGGAACTAGGGATGCTGGCCATAGAGAGTCAGATGGAGAAATGTCATAAATGAATTCCCGTGCACTGTGAAGACACAGCCAGAGGGATCATTTTGGTGGGCTGGTCACCAGGGGATAAGAAAGCCATGTAGGGTTTAACGTGACTTCCATTTCATTTTTAATGAGAGCTCTTAGGCAGGCCTGAAATGGAAACGTTTCTGTTTTATAATCTCAGTAGCAGAATGCTGTGAAGTTGAAAGAGAAAGTGATTGCCTTGGTGGTTATGAATGACATCATTAAAGAACTCTTAATTTGAAAGCTATTTTAGGGACTTGCTGGTTAGCTGGTACTAAAGATTTAGTGGCGATAATAACTGAGGCTCAAAAGCACTCCTAAGTCTTAGGGAATAACTATCATATAAAATAGTTTCATTTAAGCCTTCTCTATTATTATTTAAGCAATGGTTAAAAAATGCTGTTTGGCTAATTCTATTTCAAGACTATTTAATTCAGAAGTGGGAAAAACTAAACAAGTTATTTAATTGAGTTAATTAGTGGTTTGACTAAACTCTTTTTTGAGGCATCTTCTCAGCCAAACCACTTTGAAAATGTTTTGTTTTTTTTTTACATTTATTTATTTTTGAGAGACAGAGAGAGACAGAGTATGAGCAGGGGAGGGGCAGAGAGAGAGGGAGACACAGAATCTGAAGCAGGCTCCAGGCTGTCAGCACAGAGCCCAATGTGGGGCTCTAACCCACGAACCATGGCATCATGACCTGAGCCGAAGTCAGACGTGCAACCGACTGAGCCACAAAGGCGCCACAGCCAAACCACTTTGTAGGCATCATGGACAGCCAATAATGGGGCAACTTAATTTTTTTTCCCACCTGTCAGCTACTTTGAGTGGGGATGGTTGGGGGTGAGGAGGTAGATCTGTACTTGACCAAACCAGTTAGAAAAACTGCAGGATCTTTTCTGTCCTGAAGGCTATTAATTACCTTCTGAGCCAAGGGATGGGATGAAGCCAAGACTGAGCTTCGTGACCTACATTTAGCATTCTGGTCACAAGAGTGACCGAGATCATTTAAATAATGCTTCTGAGAATCAAGCCTTTATCAGAAACATTCTGTCTTGCTTTTGAAAACATATTCCATTCAATAAATATAAACAATATGCATGAAACACAATTCCCAGCCACAATTACAAAAAAAAATATGTTAAACTTGTTTACATGATAAAATTACAAAAAGCACTTATTATATGCAGCAAAGGAAACCTTAAGACCTCATCAGGTCAGCCTTCTGGGCATGATATTATAATTATAGTGATCATCTAATGTCTTTTCTATGAACTAATCTTGGGAGCATCAAATTGGAAATTAAATTTTCTCAAGGAAGAGTATTGTATTAACAGACATTTTTGTTATGCTGCTACTGAGCTCTAGCATGAATGTGACAGAATCACAGTGCCATAAATGTTCTGAGGGCTATGTGTGCATCCACAAATTAATGTAACAAACCACTAGAAAGGCAAGAGGAACTCTTCCTTGGATTCATTCCATACTGGCAGATCCTGGGAAGGCATGGAAGATGCTCTTTGGTCTTACAAAGCTGGCTGTGTTCACTGTCTCTGCTTTGTCATCCCACAGTCGTCGTCGTCTTCAACCACTACAGCTAGTCAACCGCCATGTCCTGCCAATCTTGCCTAAATATTTCTTGATCCACATCCTCCTCTCCATCTCTACCATCCTTCCTCATCTCCTCATCCTTCCCCACCTCCTTGACTTTACCTGGATCTCCTGCCACAGCCTTCTAACCAGACTCTCTGCTCATGTCAAGGATGGGGATTCTAAGGCACTGGTCCCGCCATTTCCTGACTAAATGTATTTGAAAGGCTCCCCTGTCTGTAAGATGTGGAACCCAGTTCAGTGCTCCTGCCTCTCTAGGCTCCAACTCAAGGTTTGGGCTCCAGAATAGCATAGGCCTCCCCTATGTTATCTCTACTGATGGAGTGTCTTCTACTTGGAATGAGTCTGTCCTCCCTTCTGCTTATGACCAATGCCAACTCTTCCTTCAAGACTAAGCTTCAAGAGGCACAATCTCCTTCAAAAAGCTTCTCCTGACCCCACCACTTGTGCTGATTGGACCAAAGGACTCCTTGTCAGAAACGTACCTGGCATATTCCTTTGCCATTTTAACTATCTGCCTCGTTTCATCCCTCCTACCAATTATCTTTGTTTTTTATTTATTGTTGTATTCCAGCTACCTAACACAGTGCCCACCACATGGCTGAGGCTTAATGAGTGTTTCTGAACTGAATTCAATGGTGTTGATACTGCACTGAACCCGACACAGGGATGATGAAGTGATCTCACCAACCACAGCACTCCTCCTTCTCTTCAGACTTTTAACAGGGGAAAAGTCCCCCATATAGGTTTTCTCATTTTCTGCACTGCCCCATCCCAGAAGTACTCTATGAAAAAAATATTCCTCTGGTAAAAGTGTTAGTTGGAGGACTGGCTGTCGAGCTACTCCAGACAAACTCCTCAGAAGCAAGGAGCCCCCACTTTGTGACCCCCTCCCCACCTGCATGGAGGCTATCACTATGCTGGATTCTATGTTTCTCTTTTTCTTTACCGACAGATTTACCAATAAATATGCATCACTAAGCATGCTTTTAAACTTCATATAAATTGGGGTGCCTGGGTGGCTCAGTCGGTTGAGCGTCCGACTTCGGCTCAGGTCATGATCTCACAGCTCATGAGTTCGAGCCCCGCGTTGGGCTCTGTGCTGACAGCTCGGAGCCTGGAGCCTGCTTCGGATTCTGTGCCTCCCTCTCTCTCTGCCCCAACCCACTTGCATTCCGTCTCTGTCTCTCTCAAAAATAAATAAACATTAAAAAAAATTTTATAAACTTCATATAAATGAAAGGGTATGGTGTGCATTTTTCTGTTATTTTTTTCACACTCAGCATTATAACTGTGAGATTCATCCACTGTTTTCACTGCTGCATAGTGTGAACTATTCTCTTGTTGATAAATATCAGGCTATTTCCCCTGCCCCCCTCATTACAAACAATATTGCTAAGAATACTCTGGTGTATGTCTTGTGGTACACATGGGCAAAAGTAACGTTAGTGGGCACCCCAGGAGGGTAGTGTACATGTTCTCTGCTAAGTCACAGGATACATGCCCATCTTCAACTTTACTAGATAATGCCAAGCTGATTTCCAAAGTTGTTGTGCCAATTTACACTCTTTATAAAGATTTATTCACTGTGCAGCTTTCTTCCTTTGGGAATGTCTCTTGCCCATTTTTTTTTCTATTGTCTTTCCTTAAGTAATTTTTAGAATTTCTTGATATATTCTGGACCTAGGGGTCTTTGTCAAATATGTTACAAATACCTGTTTCTGTTTTGTGCCTTCTCTTTTCCCTCTTTAAGGTGTATTTTAACGAGCAGAAATTCTCATTTAAGGTTCCAATGCATCTGTAGTTGTGGTTCTGTGTGTATGTGTGTGTCATTCATTTTTCCCATATGAAAACAAATTGTTCCTGCTTCATTTTTCAATGAGGCCATTTTTTACCAGCTGACCTGTGGCTCTCTGCGATGTGCCCCATGTGCAGACATGTGTGGATGTGTCTGGCCTCTCTTTGGCGTTTTCATTAGTCCATTTGTCAATCTCTGTTAAAACCATATTGTCTTAAATACAACAGCTTTCTGATATGGCTCCATCACGTAAGGCAAATCCCCCTGCCAAGTTCTCCTTCAGAACTGTCTTAGTTTTGCCCCCATCCCCAACTCCCTTGCAATTCCATGAACATTTCAGAATCAGGCTATCAGGTTTAATGAAAAACCAATTTTGTTATTTTTAAATGACATTGATTTTTCCTATTCACGAGAATGGTATACAGCTCTATTTACTGACGTTTTTTAAAATACCTTTTAGTAAGGTTTTATAATTTTCTCTTTTCAGGGCTTGCACACAATTATTAGATTTATTCTTGAGTATTTTGTATTTCTGTTGCTATTAATATTAATAAACTTTTATTCAAGCTATTTAAGAAAATATATTCTTGAATAAATTGTTTCCAACAAATAAAAATATAAATCTAAAAATCATACTTTAATCTGGTAATTAAATTATATTAATAGCTTTTCTAAGTTCAAACCAATCTTGAATTCCTGGTCAAACAGCATTTTCTATACATTGTTAGATATGACTTGCTAATAGTTTTTCCATGTTTATTTATTTTTAGAGAGAGAGAGAAAGCAAGTATGCGCACATGTGGGGAGGGGCAGAGAGGGAGAGAGAATCCCAAGCAGGTTCTACACTGTCAGCACAGAGCCTGACAAGGGGCTTGATCCCACAAACTGTGACATCATGACCTGAGCTGAAATCAAGAGTTGGGACACTTAACCGACTGAGCCACCCAAGCACTGTTGGGCTTTTCAACATTTTTGCCCTCTGATGATTTTTATTTTTTATTTTTTTTTTTTTTACCAACTGAGCAATGCTTAAAAAATTTTTTTTTAACTTAGGAACACTGTTTGGTATTTGTTGTGGTAGGATTTTAAAGGCTATCTTATTTTCCATATCGCTAGGAGATGAAATTTGAAAATTTTTTTTAAATACTTGGATATAAAGACAAGGAGAGACATGGTAGAAAAAGCTACAGCAGGATAGGGGGTCAAGAAAGGGTTACTTTTCTTCCCCTTAATTCAGGAGAACTTAAATTTTTGGCTATGGGAAACAAATAATAAAGGCAGAGGCTAAAGATGGAGATGATGGAGAAAAAAACAGGGCTACTAGGTAGAGGGAAATTTCAAGGGAGAAAAGGAGGAGGTCAGATGGAGGATACAGATGAAAAGATTGGCTTGGAATAAAGGAGGGTGAGGTAGGCTGATAATGGCACCCCAAGATGTCCGCATCCTAATCCCTTGAACGTGTGAATATGTTACCTTATGTGCGAAGGGACATTGCAGGTGTGATCAAGTTAAGGATCTTGAGAAGGAAAGAGTATCCTGGATTGTCTACTTGGGCCCTAAATGTAACCACAGGTATCCTTAGAAGAGAGAGGTTTGACTCCAGGAGAGGACAAGGCAATACGATGACAGAAGGAGAGACAGGAGTGATGCGCTTTGAAGACGGAGGAGGAACCACAGCCAAGAAATGCAGCAGCTTCTTGAAGCTGAAATAGGCATAGAAACTGATTCTCCCCTCAGAGCTTCCAGAAGGAAACAGCCCTGCTGACAGCTTAACTTTAGCTCAGTGCAAGGGATTTCAGACTTCTGACCTCCAGAACTGTAAGAGAATACATGTATTGTTTTAAGCCACTCAGTTGGTGGTAATTTGTTACAGCAGCAACAGGAAAGAAATACAGAAGGAACACCTTTGCTAAGAGCTGAGAAATGGGCCTTTCTCTAACACATTTGGCTGCAGAGTCAAGTTTGGGTATAGTAATGTTCAAATTTTAGCCAATTTGTATGTATTAAAAATTCTTAATATTATTAAACAATATAAATGAGTTTTAATTGAAAAAATGAATTTAAAATGAAAAATACCTTGTTTTAACTTAAATGTGTCTGGGGGAATCATAGACATGCATGTAAAATCAGGTGATGCGTATAATCGAATTATGTTTACGCAACAGAGTAGAAAAGGGTATTTAAAAATTGACATAATGGTGACTTTGAGAGCAAACTGTAGTAATGTCTTTTTTTTCCTTAAGATTTTATTTTTTTTAAAGTAATCTCAACACCCAACATGAGGCTCAAACTTACATCCCAAGATCAAGAGTTGGAAGCTCTACTGACTGAGCCAGCCAGAGGCCCTAAGCTATAGTAATTTCAACTGAGGCTTTCTCCACTATTGTATGTGAAAGGGTGAAATATCTTGCACCAAAATACATGTGTTGCACCAATACAGAATAGGGAACTAAGAGGAATTAAGCAACTGGCTCAATGTCACACAGCTAGTAAGTAGCAGAGCTCTAAGCTCCATAAATGTTTGCTGATAAATACACAGTGCCTTTCAGGCTTACCCAGCAAACATTTGAGCGACACGGTGAGGAAGAGGTACAAAGCCACAAGAGGTCCAGGACAAGTCTCTGATCAGGTAAAACCACCTGGGTCATCATGAGCATCCAGGTTTCCGTATCTGGATCCCCAAATTGCAGCCCCCTGCTTTTTTCTCAGAATTTCCCCCTTCCACTCTGATGCTTGAGCTCACCTTTGCAGGGCAGTGATGTATCCAGGTACCTGGCTAGTATCTGACTCTGGGGCATCACCAACTCTGCATCTGTTATCTGTTTGGCCGCTGAGGCCTCGCTACACTCATTAATGCCTCCTTACTCCCTGGGTTGGCTGTTTTTTGTGCTGGGGCTGTATGGGACTCTACTGCCATGGAACAAACCCAAGAATTTGTGAACAAAACAACAACAGCATAGAATCTTCCAGAAAATAAAATATAATTGGGCAGTTTAATAAGAAAGAAGTTTAGAGCTACTAAAGTATTAATGAAATAAAACAGGTGCTACTTACGCGGGTGGACTATCACCACAATACTTTCCAATTCTCTTAGCGTCGTTGACTTCCCCACCATTAAACACAGCCACAAAATCGTATCGGCAGTAGTTATCACGCTCGACATCAAACTTCTCAAATTTTAATTCTATAAGCTTTAGAGAAAGCACAACATTAGAAATGTCAAGATAGCTTTGAGGAATAATCTCACCCAGAAATCTTCCTCCCCCCAGATCTGTAGGATATCATGATTTTCCTTTGTCAAGAAAATATTCCTTCTGTTTGAATTATTCATTTCTTATGGTTTTCATATTTCTTCTGTAGTTCACAAAACTGTGGTATTACTTTCCTTTAATTTTTAATCATTCCAAAGGTCATCTCAACCCTAGTTAAGATCTTAAATTTAAGAGACCTGTTCACCTACAGCTACAAAAGTATGGGAACACCACACAACCCTAGCAACCTACATTAAGACCATAACTGGATATGTGTTACAGTGGGAAGCAGAGCCTATGCCAACTTCATTCTTCTCGGAGATGTTCCCCTGTGTTAGTGTATGCTGGGGTGTGGTGTTAAGTGTATGCATTTGGGTGGTGGATGGAGTTGTTCCCCTTTCAAGGGAAAGAGAACAACATTCCTATCACATGCAAAGGAGTCAAATTCTTTAGGACCAGAGATTCAGGAAGTGGGGACTGACTGTGATGTCTTCTTGAAGTATGTCTGAAAAGTGTGCCTACTGAGTTGAGCACAGCCTACTTGGTGATGTGGTTGATTTTTGAAGAGGTTGCATAAAAGCACTCATATACCAAGTCAGTGTTAGACTTCTTAAGTATTTCTTAACTTTTTTTGCATAAGTACCAATAATAGTGTCCAAGTTATTCAAGTCAATAGGAAGTTTTGATTTAACAGGCAATCATTCCCCTCACAAGCAGATTTTTCCAGAGCACCTCCAACATGTGAATCAAAGGAAATCTCACTGGGTTCATAAATACCCACGGCACCCAGACAGCTGATCTCCACCTTTGCTGGGCAGCAGGTGGGCAGGTAACCCTCCCTGCTGCTTCGGGAAGATAATGGGCATTAATTCCTGTTAGGACAGGCCCTAGATATTAGCTAAAGAAGACTCACACACAGTAACCTAGATGAATATGATAATAGCAACAGCATCACGGAGGGATCAAAGGTAAATTTTGGCTTTGAACATAATTGTCACATATCTACATATTTACCCACCTTTAAAAAGTCAGCACCAGTTAAGGGTGAATAATAGCGTATTCATATTTAGCAGTGCTTTAAATCGTATTAAAATACTTCCTCTCTGGGTCCAATAACTTCTCACCAGTTGGTAATAAAATGTTTTCCAGATTATTAAAAAATTGGCTGACCTTTCTCTACTTAGTCATATAACAGCTTTTAGAGAGAAGATTAAAAAATAAGTAAATAAGTAGGAGAAGAGAGGGGAAAACTATGATAAAAAATGAAGGTTAAGTCTTTATTGGAAGAAAATGCCCAGAGATTGGCACAGAAATTACTCAGGATTTAATTTTCCCAGTTTATTCTTCTCTGACAGCGCTTCCAGTGATTTCAAACATTACAACAATGATTAAAAACTCAATTGGCTAAAGTAAAAAATCACGTTAATAAAATGAAACCCAAGCTTAAATTTAAATAGAGATGAATAATAGAAAAAATATGCTGATTTGTAATCTGCAAGTATAATTAAGTTGAAATTATTTAAACCAATATATTTACAAATGTCACAGAAAGAAAAGTGACCAAAACCATCTCAAGAATTACATACTGCTTAAATGTTGAGAAATGTGATTTTTAAATGTTACTTTAAGCTATAAAAAGTTAAATAAGTTTATAAATCTTTCATCAATAAGTAAATCACCAGATTTTTATTCTTAAAAATAAAACTGGGTTTGGGGATTACAATCAAAGTGTGTGTGTGAGTTCAAATCACCAATCTGGATGGTACGTTTGCCTGAATAATTTAACATTAAAAAATGAATATATGGCAAATAGTATCTGTGTAAGTGATACAAAAGATCAGTTTATTTTTTATTTTTTTAATGTTTTATTATTTATTTTTGAAAGAGAGAGAGGGAGAGAGAGAAAGGGGGGCGGAGGAGCAGAGAGAGAGGGAGACACAGGATCCAAAACAGGCTCCGGGCTCTGAGCTGTCAGCACAGAGCCCAACATGGGGATCAAACCCACAAACCATGAGATCGTGACCTGAGCCAAAGTAGGACCCTTAACCAACTGAGCCACCCAGGCGCCCTTCAAAAGATCAGTTTAGAAAAGTTTTTTTTAACAGTATCATAATGATCACCATCTAGTGTGTGATTAAAGTCTGTAGTGTTTGTAACAATAATAATTCTTTGTTTTCCAACATCCACAAAGTAGACTTGGTCTATTCCCATGCTAAGTTTTCTCCTGTAATTAATATCTAAAAGTGGTTCCCAGAAAAGATAAAATTTCATATAACCACAAACTAATAAGCACTGGAAAACTAAGACCTTCTCTCTTGATTGTTTTAGAGGATTGCATAAAGTTATTTGTGGGGAACCTGAACAAATTTTATGTTAAACAACAACCAAAAATAATCCACAGAGCAGATTAGCTTTCAGACTTGTTCTCTGAGGGGAAGATGTGGTGTGCTTGCATTGGCTTTGTCCCAGTGAAGCTGTCAGGTGCATTTAGCTATGTGAACAAATGGCAACCTGAAACGTGTACATGTACTTGGGGATTCTAACCCTCCCGTATTTAGTCACTGCTGCTTATAACATTTTCCACAGGGTTAAACAATTTCACAGGGATTTGCTTACTATTTACATTGAAATTTAAAAATTGTATTTCTATAATTTATATAATTAAATACATGACTTTGCAAAAGCAATTTTAATCTGGGTCTTTTATGAAGAGATACCTGTGCCCAGCAGGGCCTTCCTCACCCTGCATGCTAAGCTCTTGAGAGATGGGACCCTCATACCATCTAGGCAATTCACATGTGCATGCTTCCTTCAGATTTTCAGGGAAGCTTACCTGATTCTTTGGGGCTACAATGTGCCACACACAAGTGACTCCTGCAGGGTAATCACGGTCAGGCCAGTTGGGGGTTTTAAAAGAGCCAGAAGGTCTTTCAAGGCGTCCTCCACAATACTGATCCCCTAAAGTTATTAAGTATGAAAAAAAAAATTCCAAGTTTATATCCTGATATAGGTCATGGCAATGCAACTATAAGGAAATTGGGAATTTGGAAAATTGGTGATAGTACAGTAAATACAGGCAATGACAGAAGCTCTTAAATTTTTTCTTAAGAAATGGTCTCCACAGGGGCGCCTGGGTGGCGCAGTCGGTTAAGCGTCCGACTTCAGCCAGGTCACGATCTCATGATCACGAGTTCGAGCCCCTTGCTCGGGCTCTGGGCTGATGGAATAGCCCGAGCCTAGATTCTTGTGTCTCCCTCTCTCTCTGCCCCTCCCCATTCATGCTCTGTCTCTCTCTGTCCCAAAAATAAATAAAAAACGTTGAAAAAAAAAAAATTAAAAAAAAAAAAAAGAAATGGTCTCCACATACATCTCCCTGCCCTCCACACACATGCTGAATGATCTCTGTTACTTGACATATCACATCAGCACAAGAGAACATAGGAGTAGAGTGAGAGCTATCGCTTTTCTTTCTTTCATTTTTTTGGGCAAGTAAAGACAAAATCTTTGGCCAAGAACTCATTCAGAAATCATGCAGGCTCAACAAATTACACAGATTTTAAGAACCCTCAAGACAGAGGTATTTATTAATAGGATTAAAACCCAGGTGCATGGACACAATTTGAATTAGTTGGCATATAAAACTCCCACTACCAGAAAACTTTATATGCTATACATCTTTAATATTTTTAAGAATAATTTTTGTTTGTAAAAACAATACGGGTTTATAAATTTTCAGCAATACAGAAAAGCACCAAAAAGTAAAAAATTACCCCAAATCCAACCACCTAAAACTAACCACAATATTTGAGAAACATCATTTCAGACATCTTTATGCACATGGACTGATAAGTCAAGAGAAATAATTTTAGAAAGGTATTTTAACACCAAGTTCTAAATTTAATTTTACTTGAATTTAACTAACAGAGAAAAACTGAATTCAAACTAAGGGAACTAATATACTTTAAATATTTCTTTGACACAGAAGATAATAATTTTTAAAAGGCATTTCTAAGAAAATGTGTTATAAAAATTGAGGTTGGATAATTTATAAAACTTTTACTCATGGAAAATTTCAAGCATAAACAAAGTAAACAGAATAATATAATGAGCTTCTATGTATCCATCACCCAATTTCAACAATTATTATCATTCTACTATTCTTTTTATTAATACTAATGTGCAATCCCCACCACCTGATGATGATGATGATGATGATGATGATGATGATTGACAGATTTCAGGGAGATAAATTCATGTACAATGAAATGCATAAATCTTAGCTGTACTAATTTGAAAAAATTGATCTGCCCCTGAAAGCCAAACTACTAGGATGATATAGAATCTATTTCCTACCAAACTTCTGTATCCCTCCCCAGTCAGTCTGCTGCCTCTCCACACCACTTATCTGAAAAATTCCACTGTAGTTTTACTCTGGACCTTCATATAAAAGGCATAGTGTATTGTGTATTCTTCTGGTCTGGCTTCCCCTGCTTATAGGGAGAGGCATTCATGTTGCTGTGTGAGTTGGCAGTTTGTTTCTTCACTCCGCTGAGTAATATTCCAGCATATGGAAATACCTCAGTTTGTTTACCTCTTCTCCGCTGATATTCATTTGGGTGTTTCCAGTTTGGGCTATTGTGAATGGACCTTTTGTGAACATTTTTGTAGAAATCTCTTTGTGGACATGCGTTTTCATTTTGCTCGCACAAATACCCAGGAGAGCAATTCCTAGTCCAAGAGTAGATGTAGATGTAGATGTTTAACTTCAGAAGAAACTACTAAAAATTTTCCCCTAGAGGTTGAAGCATTTAAATCTTTTATTTTCTTTATTTTTTATTTTTCCCTGAGAGAGACGGAGTGTGATACAGGGAGGGGCAGAGAGAGAGGGAGACACAGAATCCAAGGTAGGCTCCAGGCTATGAGCTGTCAGCACAGAGCCTATCGTGGGGCTCAAATGCAAGATCAAGTCAGATGCTTAACTGACTGAGCCACCCAGGTGCCATGAAAATTTCTCTTTTTACTTAGATTTCTATAATTTTAATGTTCCTCAGTATGGCTTTTTTTTTTTTTTTTTTTTTTTTTTTTTTTTTTTTTTTTTTTTTTTTTTGTCCTGTTTGGGGTTTGTTGATCTTCTTGGCCCTATAAATTAATGTTCTTCACTAAATCTGGGTAGCTTCAAACCATTATTTCTTCAGACATTTTTCCTGCACTATTATCACTGTCTTCTGGGACACAAATTACACATTAGACCACTTGATATTGCCTCAATGGTCTCTGAGGCTTTTTACCTTTAATCTTTTTTTCTCCTGGTTCTTCAGACTAGGTCATTTCTATTCAAATCCACTGACTCTTGTACCATCCCCAATCTGCTCATGAGCCCACCAGGTAAATTTTTAAATTTCAGACTCTATCTTGCAGTTCTAGAATTACTTTTATTCTTTTTTATAGTTTAGCTTCTCTTCTGAAATTTTCAGTCTGTTTACTTATTACACATGTATTTCCCTTTAAGTCCTTAGATTTTATGTCCTTAGACATATTTATAATAGCTACTTTAAAGTGCTTGTCTGCCAACTGTAACATCTGAGTTATCTTAGGATTGGTTTTTACTGACTGCTTTTTACTGGACTCTAGACACACTTTTTTGGTTTTATCAGATGACTAGATACTGGATATTATGAGATATTAGATATTAGAGATTCTAGATTCTGTTGTGTTTCTGTGAAAAATGACTTTTGTTCTAGCAGGAATTTCACTTGCCTAGACTCAAGCTCAAAGTCGGTCTCCCTGGCAGCAGGCAACACTTGTTCACCTTCATGTTTCAGCTGATGCTTTTGTGCCAGGCCAACTGGACTCTCCTCTGCACATGTAGAGTTTGGCTGCAAGCCAAAGATTTAGGTAGATTTTATATGTATACTTTGTGCCTCAATTCCTCTGTAGCTTCCAGCCATGATTTCCTTCCAAACATTCTGGCTGCTCTGTCAGCCCCAGATTCTGTCCTCTGACCTCTCAGACCAGTAATGTTGCACGATAGCTCAAAGCAAGAACAGATTAGGGAATGACTTCAAGCTAAAGGCTCCAAATTTAACAAATCTTGCCCACTGCAGTTACATTTTTTTATACATATACAAATATTTACTTATTTTTGAGAGAGAGAGCGAGCGTGAGCAGGGGAGGGGCAGAGAGAGAGGGGGACAGAGGATCTGAAGTGGGCTCTGTGCCAACAGCAGAGGGCCTGATGTGGGCTTAAACTCATGAACCATGAATTTATGACCTGAGCCAATGTCAGACCCTTAACTGACTGAGCCACTCAGGCGCCCCACTACAATGATCTTTTAAGGGTAGAGGTTTCTACCCTTGGGTGCTCATATGCACCGACGTGAAAATTCCCCCACACATAGTTCTCAGTGAAAGAAAAAAAAAGCTGTGAAACACTATGAATGTATGGCCCCACTTACATTTTTAAGAAGCTATTGCAGAAGTACATATGTATAAGTGCATATACAAAGGTATGGGACCACCACCATGGCTCTAAGAGGGGACTATAGAGGAGTGAAGGGGTACGTATCTGTATCTGTATGTGTATATACGTATGTAAGCTTCCCATTTTTACCCCATAAGTTTCTGTATTTGAATTTTAATAAGAATCACATGGGCTTTAAGAAAAAGAGACTTTTTTGAATGGTTTCCTAGTGGTTTAGTGGCATTTACCAGCTATTTTTGAGAAGAACTGGTCTTAAATTTTAGATTAAAGGAGTGAACACATTTAAGGTGCCCAGAACACAGCCTAACACACAGTAAGCATCCAGTAACTGTGAGCCATCATTATTGCTGTTATTAGCATTATGTGGAAACGATACCTCTTTCATTTGGTTCGGCAGCAGAGAACATGGCCATGAAGCCATTCCCAGCTGTGTTGGCATCAGAAATCATCTGCACCATCATCTTGTTACCACTGGACACAAGGGCTCCAGGCCGGAACGTGCCACAGAAGCGCCCAATACGCTGGCCATTGGCGTGACCGTTGTACACATCCACAAAGTCATAGCGGCACAGGTTATCACTCTCAAGATCTATGAATCGGAAATTAAGAACTACTACTTTTCCCTCAGGAACCTGTAAAGAAAAAGACCAATGGAAAACCATGTCATGAAAACAATACCTGAGGCCTTCACGTCTAGCCAATTACTAAAGTGAGCAGATGAAAGTATAATACTCAAGATGATGCTTTTCTTCCCTCAAACGTGAACTCAGCAAAGGTTTTCTACCATAACGAATTCCTAATAAAATATAAGTATTTACTCTCTTTTGGAAAATCCCACAATTCATTAGGGTACACAATCTTATGCCTAGGGAGTTTATCTCAACAAAGTTGCAAAATATTGGGCCAGTCTTATTAATTGGTAAGTCACTGCTTACAAAGAATATCAGTCCTGATTGGACCTTAGCACACATTTGCATATTGTAAAACACCATGGCACCCAGAGGTATTGCTTGGCAAAGAAACTTACAAAATATCATTTTTCACAAATAATCCAACAGGATAATCTCTATATGTAGAATCTCTCTATGAAGATCCAACTGAAGGGATTATTTGGCAATCATATATTTAACTTATACATAATTCAGTTTGGGTCCTGAAAAATCTAGATCAACTACTTACACTGATTACACTGAGTAATTAACGAATCATCTCTTCTCAAGTCACTGAGTTTTTGTTTTTCACATGAAAACTTTATACACTAGGCAACCTTGAAACACAATGTACTAATAAAAAATATGAGTTTTCACTTCTCATAAGACTTTCTTCACCATAATTTCTTCCATATAATTTTTATGATGCTTCCCTTCTTGTTTCCTGAACAGACAGAAAAAAATGGCTACAAAAGCATTTGGCAGGATTTTTTTAAAAAGTTTATTTACTTATTTTTAGTGAGAGAGAGCAGGCACTTGTGCACAAACGATCAGAGGAGGGACAGAGAGGGAAGGAGAGAGAGAGAATCCCAAGCAGGCTCCGCACTGTCAGTGCAGAGGTCAACACAGGGCACGATCTCACAAACTGTGAGATCATGATCTGAGCTGAAATCAAGAGTCAAATGCTTAACTGAGCCATCCAGACACCCTACATTTGGCAGGATCCTAACAAAATCCCCATTTCTTTTCTAGTTCACACCATCTTTTAACTTATTCATTCAAGTATTTGGTCATAAAGTCTCAATCAGATTTGTTTTACCTTTTCAACTAGATGAGATCCCCCACTGAATGGCCTAAGAATTTCATTCTGTAAAATCTTACAGATGACAAAAGTCAGTGATTTAAGAGACAAAACAAACCCACAACCACCAACAGCGGTTGGTTTCTATTCATCTTAAATAATTATCTCATACTCAAGGGTCAATAGATGCTTTAAGATAAATACGGCTTTCCATGTTGGTGAGTTCAATGTCATAAATTCATTTTTCTGTGATAAGATGAAGTGTTTCAGTGCTATTTGCCTTTTGTATCAAACACATACACACCCCATGGTTAAAAACTGGAGTGCAGTAGTCTCAAGAGAATATTTTGGCTTTGTCATGGCTGTATTCTAATTGCTAGGAGCTTATCTTAAAAGGGTGAGTATTAGAAGCTCCAAAGCCACAGGCTATGAAGCTGATAACAGAAAATGCAATTTAATTTTGACACATTCTGAGATATCTCTTGTAGTATTTCTCTGGGCTTTTGTTGATGTTATTGTTGTGTTGATCTTTTTTTGCAGACAATCTCTAGCCTATCATCAGAAAATTAGAAAAATATGATGCCACATCTGTAACCTTAAATATAAGCAATCTATCAATCACTGAAAATTTTTTGGTCAAGAAAACCATTTCTGAAGTAGATTAATTGAATGTGGATTGTCCTTGAATGAAGAGTGACTGTATGTGTAAAAGTGTAGATAAACTGTGTGGATGGTAATTCAAAGCTATGAGTCTCTTCCACCCACAGAGTATAGATATAAAAGAAGGGAAGAGGTGGAAGGATTGACCCTTGGAGCACTCTGATGTCATCACAACTTCCAGATAAGGTCAAACCGAGATAGAGACTGAGTTAGGAACCAGTCAGAAGGGTGTGGTACCCAGAAACCAAGTGAAAAGAGTGTGTTCAAGGAGAAAGAACTAGCCAGCCGAGTCAGGTGCGGCTGCTGAGTCAAAGAGGATGAGGACTGAGAAATGGTCACTGGGTTTAGCAACTAGAGGTCACTGTAACTCTGACAAAGCTATTTTGGTGGAGCACCAGGGATAAAGCCTGATAAGAGAAGATCAAGAGAAAATGGGTGAGAAGAATTGGTGAAAATAAATAGGGACAAGCCTTTCAAGGAACTTTGCTGGAAAGATGATCAGAGTAATATGTGGGTACCTGGAAGGGGGTGTGGGGTCAAGGCAGGAGAGTTACAATGGGCTATGTTAAGTCTCATCTGCATGCCAATGGGAATAACTCCACAGAGAGGGCAAAACTGAGCAGAGTAGGAGAGAGGGACAGTTGCTGGGGAATTGTCCTTGGGTAGGCAAGGGAGGATTTGCCCTAAGGCACAGATTGGGGCGGTGGCCCTAGATGCACCTTTCTGCCTAGTAAGAAGAAGGGAGGCAGGTGCAGGTGGGGTTATAGGTGAGGCTGTGGGAGCAGATGAAATTTTTCTTCCGTGAAATAGAAAACAAGGTCATCAGCAGCAAACGTGGCTGTGAGAAGAACTACTGGGAGTCTGAGAACAGGGGAGAAGGTGTTTAAGTGGATCAAGGAAGGGCAGCAGGAGTGTCAGGAGTGCTGAGGGCCCATTTGAGTTAAATAAATTAGAAGTGAGGCCTGTGCTTCGGATTCTGTGTGTGTCTCTCTCGCTGCCCCTGCTCACACTCTCTCTCTCTCAAAAATAAACAAACATTGGGGAGCCTGGGTGGCTCAGTCGGTTGAGCAACTGACGTCAGTTCAGGTCGTGATCTCACGGTTTGTGAGTTCGGGCCCCACGTCGGGCTCTGTGCTGACAGCTCAGAGCTGGGAGCCTGCTTCAGATTCTGTGTCTCCCTCTCTCTCTGCCCCTCCCCCACTCTTGCTCTGTCTCTCTCTGTCTCAGAAATCAACATTAAAAAAAATTTTTTTAAATAAACAATTAAAAATTTTTTTTAAATAAACAGAAACCTAAAAAAAAAAAAGTGAGTCTCCTCTTCATGGTTGTGTTTTTCCCCAGCTAAACACAGCCCCCTGGGTAGAGGTGCAGGGCAGGTGGAGAGTTGGATTTAAGCAGCAGGGTTGGGAGGCTGGAAGAGTGGGGTGCGGTGTGCCAAGCAAGGACTGTGGAGGAAGAGAGGGTCCAGAGTTGAGAACGTAGGCAGAGGAGTGACCATAATGATGGCCCATGGAATCTAAGCTGGGTAAGGACAGAAATCATAAATCAATGAGGTGAGGACAGTTACAACATAGATTGTGGTGGAGACGAGGATAATGGAAGTGGGTGCCAGAGGAACAATGGAGGGTAAGTGCATGGGAGGACAGAAGCTGTAAGACCCAACAGGATCCTCCATGTAGATACTGAAATTACTATAAATTACAACCAGGAAAAGTGTTGAAGACAGGGACAGTGAGCCAGGGGCTAAAATTTATAAGAAATGAGGAAGATTGTCCCAGGGTCTTTCTGCAACAAGATGAGCAAACAGGGGGCAAAAGAGGGCAGAGTCTTGTTTCACTGGTAAGTTCTCAGTTCTTTGACACTGAGAAAGTTCTGTTGATTCTTTTCTGTGGTCAAGCTGGATACTCATTTCCAGTGGGATAAGTCAGCATATGGTCAGCAGTAGAAACAAGGTTACATCACTGAAATTTTGAACACACCTTGATCCCAATAACAAACCCTGGCAAAAACTCTTTTAAAGGAAGGATGCAGAGAGCTGTATCAGTTGAGGTCTACCATAACCAGAAACAAACGCCATCTTGCATTGAAGGCCAAAGAGCAATCTATTGTGAGGGAGACGCATACTGCCGCAAACTCTCTCACCACAACAGCTGGTCTTCATTTTTATGAGAGTAATCCAAGATTATCTGATGCCCTGTGATGTGAACTTTGCTAAGAGTTCCTAGATGGTCATTCCAAAGGACTTTGTAAAGCATATTCTCCAAAGATGACCCCACCACTATAGTCTGTACTCCTGATTTTTGTATATATAGAGATACATACGTAGAGTAATACAACAAACACCTGGGTACCAGCCATCCAGAATTAATTATTGTTAACATTTTGCCAGCTTTTTTGAGAGAGAGAGAGAGCACATGTGCAAATGGGTGAGGGGCAGAGGAAGGAGACGAAGAGAATCTTAAGCAGGCTCCACACCCAGTGCAGAGCCCTATGTGGGGCTCAATCTCATGACCCCGAGATCATGACCTGAGCAGAAATTAAGAATTGGACGCTTAACCAATTGAGCCACCCAGGCACCCCCTGTCAACACATTTTTAAAGTCTCCTTAAAATTTTTGAGATAAATGGGGCGCCTGGGTGGCTCAGTTAAATGTCTGACTACATACAGCTCAAGTCATGATCTCATGGTTCATGAGTTTGAGCCCCATATCATGTCTCCCTCTCTCTCTCCCGCAGAAAATGAATAAAACACTAAAAATTTTTTTTAAAAATTTGTTTTCAGATAAAATGAGGTTTGTCATCCCCATCCCAGGCCTTATCTCCCCCTCCTTTCTCAGAAGCAACCACTGTCACAAATTTAGTGGGTTTCTTTCTGTGCTATTCAAATTACTATCAGGGGTGCCTGGGTGGCTCAGTCGGTTGAGCGGCTGACTTTGGCTCAGGTCATGATCTCAAGGGTTCATCAGTGAAGAGCCTGCTTCAGATCCTGTGTCCTCCTGTCTCTCTCCCCTTCCCCTGTCCATGTTCGTGCGCTCTCTCTCTCTCTCTCAAAAAATAAGTATTTTTAAAACATACCTCAAAGTACTTTTATGTAGGGGCACCTGGGTGGTTCAATTGGTTAAGTGCCTGACTCTTGATTTTGGTTCATTCAGGTCATGATCTCATGGTTCAAGAGACAGAGCCTATGTTGGGCTCTGTGCTAACAGCAGGGAACCTGCTTGGGATTCTCTCTCTCTCCCTCT